ATTCAGATTTTTTGTGCAAGAATTATATTCAAAGCGGGCTGGAGGATGGTTTGTATAACGTCTACAGTGGCGTGGAAACGTCAAAGGAACTGTGGACTGCGCTTGAAAAGAAATACAAAACCGAAGATGCCGGGTTGAAAAAGTTTGTTGCTGCAAAGTTTTTGGACTACAAAATGGTAGATAGCAAGTCTGTTATTACCCAAGTCCAGGAATTGCAAGTGATTATTCACGATCTCCTTGCTGAAGGTATAACTCAATTTAATATTGATGTTGAAAGTAGTAATCTTAGTATTTTTACTAATAGAAATTTCATTGAAGGTCTTGTTATCAATGAAGCATTTCAAGTAGCAGCGATGATTGAGAAGTTGCCTCCTTTGTGGAAGGACTTCAAAAACTACTTGAAACACAAACGCAAGGAGATGTCCCTTGAAGATCTCATTGTTCGGTTGAGAATCGAAGAGGACAACAAAGCTGCGGAAAAGAGAGGCCGTGGAAATTCAACAATAATGGGAGCAAATATTGTTGAAGAGAACAAAAAGAGAAAGAAGGCTTCTGGACCGAAATACAGCCCAAGCAAGAAGCGGTTCAGTGGAAACTGCTACAACTGTGGGAAAACTGGACACAAATCTACGGAGTGTCGTGCTCCGAAGAAAGACAAGAAAAGGGGTCAAGCAAACATGGTTGAAAAGCATGATGATGTTGATGATTTATGTGCCATGCTTTCCGAATGCAACTTGGTGGGCAATCCTAAAGAGTGGTGGATTGATTCTGGAGCCACTCGCCATGTTTGTGCTGTTAGAGAAGCTTTTGCTTCTTATGCTCCCGTTGGACCCGATGAGACGATTTCTGTGGGAAACGCTTCAAAGGCGAAGATTGAAGGATATGGAAAAATATTTCTCAGAATGACTTCCGGCAAAGTGGTGACTTTGAACAACGTCCTTCATGTTCCCGAGATTAGGAAGAATTTAGTCTCTACTGGACTTCTTGTTAAGAATGGGTTTAAATGTGTTTTTGTTTCCGATAAGGTTGTAATAAGTAAGAATGAGATGTTTGTAGGAAAAGGTTACCTCACTGAGGGCCTTTTCAAGCTGAATGTAATGGTTGTTGAAAATAATAATAAAATTTCAGCTTCGTCTTACTTACTTGAGTCAAATGAATTATGGCATATACGTTTGGGTCATGTCAATTATAAAACCTTACGGAAAATGATTAATTTGGAAGTATTGCCCAAGTTTGAATGTGACAAATCAAAATGTCAAGTATGTGTGGAATCTAAGTATGTTAAACATCCTTATAAGTCGGTTGAAAGGAATTCAAATCCTTTAGACTTAATTCACACAGATATTTGTGACATGAAGTCAATACCATCTCGCGGTGGAAAAAAGTATTTCATAACTTTTATTGACGATAGTACTCGATATTGCTATGTTTACTTACTTAATAGTAAAGATGAAGCAATAGACGCATTCAAGCAATACAAAAATGAAGTTGAAACGCAACTTAATAAGAAAATCAAAATGATAAGAAGTGATAGGGGTGGTGAATATGAATCTCCTTTTGAACAAATATGTTTAGAATATGGAATTATTCATCAAACAACGGCCCCTTACACGCCCCAATCCAATGGGATTGCAGAAAGAAAGAATCGTTCATTAAAGGAGATGATGAACGCATTATTGATAAGTTCTGGTTTGCCACAGAACTTGTGGGGGGAAGCCATTCTTACGGCTAGCCGAATACTAAATCGAGTACCCCATAGCAAAACACAATCCATTCCATATGAAAAATGGAAAGGAAGGAAGCCCAACTTGAATTATTTTAAAGTGTGGGGGTGTTTGGCAAAAGTGCAAGTTCCTAAACCCAAAAGGGTAAAAATAGGACCGAAAACCGTTGATTGTGTTTTCATAGGATATGCAACTAATAGTAAAGCATATCGATTTCTGGTTCATAAATCAGAAAATCCCGACATTCATAATAATACGGTTATAGAATCAGATAATGCTGAGTTCTTTGAAAATATATATCCGTATAAAAAGGAATGTGAGTCGATTGGTGAAGGATCTAAACGACCTCGGGAAGAAATAAAAGAAAGTACACTTAACCAAGAAGATCCAAGACGTAGTAAACGTCAAAGAACGTCTACTTCATTTGGACCAGATTTTGTGACTTTCTTATTGGAAAATGAGCCTCAAACATTTAAAGAAGCTATGTCTTCTTCGGAATCATTGTTATGGAAAGAGGCGGTCAATAGTGAAATAGAATCCATACTAAACAACCATACATGGGAATTGGTTGATCTTCCTCCTGGAAACAAACCGTTGGGATCTAAATGGATCTTTAAGAGGAAAATAAAAGATGATGGTACTATTGACAAGTATAAGGCAAGACTTGTGGTCAAAGGGTATAGACAACGAGAAGGTCTTGACTACTTTGATACATACTCTCCAGTTACAAGAATTACATCCATACGAACGTTAGTAGCGTTAGCTGCAGTTTATGGTCTTGAAATTCCTTAAGCTTGTTATTACACTGTATTTGTAAAATAAATTCTGGAAATATAAATGAATATAAACAGTAATGAATATAAACAGAAATGACATAAACCAATTCGAGCCCACTGAATTCACAGTGTTTCCTTAAGGAATTTAATCCCCTCCTAGTACCCAAGGTTATGGATTATTTCCTCCCAGGATAGAACGAATGAAACACTGGGGTTTGAAGTACCACTACACCAGTGTGTAATTCGTTCTATCCTGGGAGGAAATAATCCATAACCTTGGGTACTAGGAGGGGATTAAATTCCTTAAGGAAACACTGTGAATTCAGTGGGCTCGAATTGGTTTATGTCATTTCTGTTTATATTCATTACTGTTTATATTCATTTATATTTCCAGAATTTATTTTACAAATACAGTGTAATAACAAATTCGTGTTAAGAAACGTTTTCCCTTTTTAATTAACTTTATGCAGTATAAATTATCGAATACCAAATGATCATAGAACAAATCCGTTGCAATTTCCCTAAATACTTATGACCAAATAAATAAAATATAAAGAACGTGTAAATTGAAGAGGAATAAATTTTTAGTGCCTTCAATTCAACCCGCATATGACCGCTCACCAATGCTAGCTAGTGCGTCGATGCAGGGTGGATACAATTATGTCAATCGCCGTAGTTTCTTGTCTTATTTCATCGCGTTTTGGTTTCAAATTTTAGTAAGTCGCATAGCATATAAGTTCTATATAATTAGGACGTCTGGACTTTTTAAAATCTACTATTCTGTGTGATTTAAGGGCATACTCTGAGAACTGAAATGTGATGCAAAGATTAGCCTAGCAATTTTTAAGAGGCTTTTTTCGGGACTCGCCCATGGCTCGCCCCTGGCGGCGCAATATCAAAGTGCCCTGAGGTTTTTACGCGAGGCTTAGCTCCATTGGGCTTATGTTTCAAGCGCCCAACTGTGCACCCTGAATACGCCTAACACTCAATATTCGGGGGCCGTACAATAGTTCCTGTACAAATCATACATCAAATTCCCTAATTAGCTTTGTTGACTCTCATAATTCTTTAAACAAATGAATGATAAAAGTTCTTTTCATCTATAGAGATATAAAAATTGAGAGTAACTCAAATAATAAGTAACAGTATTGCATATTACTTAATTGAATATCATGATGGTGAATTTCACTTGAATGTTTCATGTGAAAATAGATAACCAGAATTTATATCTTCGCTTGTCATTGATCTTCTTGTTTTAGTTCTATGTCTCTCAAATTTGAAGGCAGTTTTGTATTTGCTCGTGA